CAAAGGCGCGGTCGATTGCTAAGCATCGTCCAGCGTCATCCAGTGAAAATGGAACCTTGTGAATGCAATGAGAAGCGAAAGTGAGAGCGTGACTAAGGAACATACCTCCACCAACATCCGTCGTCGCTCCGTAGACTAGCAGCGGAGAGTAACTGGGATGACACAGTGTGCGTATGGCGAAGAACCTGGTAAGACTCAGAACCGGCAAACGAAGACAGGGAACTTGAAGAAGAACGCACCCGGCACAATTGTGGTACAAAAGGCACGGCCGTGTTCGAAAGGGTCGTCATCTATCGCAGGCGTAGCCATGGAGCCAAATACCGCACGAGAACGTAGTGTAATCGTGGGGGGAGAGTCGAAGAGACAAGCCAAAGAATTTCATCTTCGGCTCGCTTAATTTATAGGCCTCGGGCCAAGCGACGCCAAACAATCCCGATTTGGACGCAATCTGCGAGTCACGTCTCTCGACGCGCTCTTCATCCTCGACTTTCATGGGACCAGCTCGCGATGGGTGTCAAGTCCTTATGGAAGCTCCTCGCGCCCGTTGGCAGACCCGTAATGTTGCGACTCCCTCACCCCTTTCTTACTACGTGACTGAGACATTGGATTACTTAGGCTCGAAACCATGGAGGGCCAGATCATGGCCATTGACTCGAGTATCTGGATCTACCAATTTCAGGCCACTATGCGCGACAACGATGGACGAGCACTGTCAAACGCGCACGTCCTTGGCTTTCTGCGCCGCATAGCCAAACTCTTGTTCTACGGAATCAAGCCTGTCTTTGTTTTTGACGGTGGTGCTCCCGCGTTGAAGAGAAACACCCTCGTACGCTAGCATATTTCTGAAAATTCTGTACGCTCACGACTCTCAGAACGAGCGTAGAAAGAAGAAGAGTGGAGCGGCCACAAGCCATGTCAAACTCGCAGAAAAGCTCCTTGCTGCGCAGATGAGACGAGCGGCTGTGGATCAGGCGAGGGGTGCGCAGTATGACCCATTCTCTCTCTTTGACTAAAACCAGGATTTAACATGTTGAGCAGGAAGCCCATTAAAGGCAAAGGCAAAGCACCTAGTGGCCCGTTGTACTTGACGATAACACTGTATACCTCGAGGACATTGACTCATCGATGCCAAAGGCGTCTCCACGTAAAACAGATGCAGCATCTGCGTTGGGATCCCCTAGCAAGCCTAAATTCCACGACCATGATCCATATCGCCTTCCAGACCTCGACCTTGAGGCCGCCGTTGCAAAGGCAACTCGTGCTGCAGTCCCTGATCCGCGCCTAGCTACTGAAGACGAGCTCCGGGAATTCATAGAAGATATGCGTCCTGAAGACTTTGATGTTACCTCGGCTGCATTTCGTGAGCTCCCAACCGAAGTCCAATACGAAATAGTGGGAGACCTCCGACTAAAATCCCGACAAACGTCGTACGCTCGGTTGCAGAACATGCTGAGAAGTGCTCCGACCCCGCTCGACTTTTCAAAACAGCAGATCCTGAATTTGCGGCAGCGAAATACCTTGACGCAGCAGCTCCTCATGACCACAGACAGTATCGGGAAGGCCAACATCACCATTCCTGTCCGCGTCGCGAGTGAACGCAACAGAGAGTACTTGTTGATAAAGAATGAGGGCCACGAGGGTGGATGGATCCTCGGCATTCGAGATAACGGGACCCGCGAAAAGCCAATTGAAATTGACCAAGACGAGAAGAAGGATGTCTCGGTGGGCGATGACAGCGACGAGGATATGGAAGAGGTTCCCATGTTCGCAAGCTTGTTTACGGCGTAGTTCAACGCTGATTATACCTAGACCTCAAGCTGGTCCGCCGGATCCCGACTTGCAAGAATATCAAAGAACCATGACTCTTGCGGCCATCGCCAATCGTCATGCGACGAAACAGCCTCCATTACCGAAAAAACCTTCCGCAAGCGTAGTTTCGCGCCCCCTCTTTGAGTTTGAGGACGCCAACGACATGCTTCCTATCATTGACGATGACCACGATGGGGAACTCGCTCTGGCGATTCAGGAATCCATTGACGGGGGCACAGGCTCGGTAATCGAAGATGACGACGACGGACAACTAGCTCTGGCAATTCAGGAATCCATCGATCAAGCTAAGACGGCGCGTGAGGCGCCTGCACGTCCGCGACGGCCTGTGCAGATCAATGCCGTTGCGTCGTCTTCCAAAGTGGTCGACACTACGCCACACCGGCCGTCCGACTCTGTTTCCCACTATCCTCTCTACGACGAGGATTCCTTTTTGCATGGAAACCGACTGGAAACCGCCTTATCTATAGCGAACGCGGGGCATGCACGAACGCCGGCGAAATCCAAGCCTACAAGTTCCATGTTCGGGGAGCCGGCGTTACTTCAGGCCTCTCCTGCGCAACCGAGGCTGCCACCTTCGCCTCTGTCAAGGCCGACGATCCAGCCAGAACCCAAACTTCGGTCGGATAACGGAATAAAAGTGGTTTCTGAATCACTGGCGGAAGTTGGAACGTCACCGTTTGGGAAGCCCGTCTTGCTACAGCCCCAGGCTCCCCGGCCCTCAACACCTCCACCCTCGTCCAGGTCTCCAATCCCTTCGGAACCTCCCCCTGTTTCCGATGAGGATATGGAAGAAGTGTTGCCTGCGTTTGAGCCCAGACCGTCGTTATCGATTGTACCTTCCTCGCAGTCCGAGTTTACTGAAATGGAGGATATACCCCAGTCGTGGAGCGGGCCACTGTAGTAGTTGCCGATCCGCCATCTACACCTCCACGGCTTCAGTCACCTGTAGCGTCTGTCGTGGTCGATAACGACACCCCGTCCGATCCATTTCTTTCCAGTGAACCTCCTCCTGTAGTCGTACCGGGCGAGGCAGCGTCCACACCTTTCAGCGACCCTCAAACTCTTGTAGAACGATTTTCTGTTGAACCGATTGCTCTGCAGAACTCTTCTGCAGATGTAACAGGAACGGAACTAGTACCTCTGCAGTCGTTATCGAGGAACGACGAAGAGGACGACGACGACCCTGTTAGCGGTTGGTCTAGATCCCCGTCGCCGATCGCTGGAGTCGAGCATCCCCAGCCCCGAATTTCGTCGCCGGTTCCTGAGAACTGGGACGCCGCCCAGGAGATGGATCCGGACGCAGAGGAGGGTGAATTCGCACGCTTCGTGTCGCAGGTCAAAGGCAAAGATTTGGACGAGGTCCAGCAGGAAATAGACGACGAAATCAAGGTCTTGAACCAGCAGAAGAAAGCGGCCATGCGCGATTCGGAAGACATCAACCAGCAAATGATATCGCAAATTATGGTGGGTGCATTGTGCTGCATCGTTTTGGAAAAAAATCTGAACTGCGAGCAGATGATGCTGAGTTTATTTGGCATTCCATATATTACTGCGCCGATGGAAGCTGAGGCTCAATGCGCTGAACTTGTCCATCTGGGCCTCGTGAACGGCGTGATCACCGATGATTCCGATGTCTTTCTCTTTGGCAGCCAGCGTGTTTTCAAAAACATGTTCAATCAGTCCAAAACGGTCGAGTGTTTCTTGCTCTCGGACCTGAGTCGCGAGCTGGGGTTGGAACGCGACACGCTGATTAGACTCGCGTATTTGCTTGGTAGCGACTATGTTGACGGGCTTCCCGGCGTTGGGCCAGTCGTCGCGATGGAACTTCTCGACGAGTTTCCTGGTGAGGACGGACTGCATAAATTTAAAGACTGGTGGGTGAAGGTGCAGTCTGGGAGGGACAAGCCCGAGGACAATAAATCCAAATTCCGGAAACGATTTGTATGTATCCTGGGCTTTCTCCGTTCACTGGAATTCACTCTATCACAGAAGAAGAACTTTAAAGATCTCTATCTCCCTCCGGAATGGCCTAATCCGACTGTCGTACGTTGTTGTAATGTTTTCGCAGACGCCATCTAACGTCGTCCAGAGGGACGCCTATTATCACCCCACCGTCGACTCGTCGGAAGAGCCGTTTAAATGGGGTTTGCCTGATCTCGATGCTCTGCGAGAGTATGCGACCTGTATTCATGTCGTTCTCGAGGTCTCACTTGTTTGCAGGTTTCTCTATGCTGAGCTTAGCTGGTCCCCAGAAAAAGTAGACGAGCTTTTATTGCCCATTATTCAAAAGATCCGCAAGCGTGGACAGGTATGCTATTCCTGGAAGTATCCCATGCAGTGCAGCTTACGCCTTCGCAGAGTGGAGCATTAAACAAACAGGGAGACCTCAATGGGTTCTTCAATATTGCTGGGAGCGGGACGATTGCTCCTCGACAACGTACAGCATACGCAAGCAAACGTCTGCAGCAAGTGGTATCCGATTTCCGGAAGAAACGGAAACACGGTTCCAAATCACCGGCGTCGAACGCTGAAGGTGAAAAATCCCAGTCGGACGATGATGATGACGTCCCGAGCAAGAAGAAGGCGAAGGCAGGAAAGACAAAGACGGGTCCAGCCCCGAAACGCGGTGCAGGTACTAGCCGTGCGCGTGGGCGCGGTGGCAGAAAGGGCTCCTCTCGGAAGAAGGCGGTCTCTGAGGACGAAGCTGAATTTCAGGCAGATGACGCTACGTTGGGTCCAGCGCGAGCGCCTCAACTACGACCTAGGCCGAAGCCGGCGTACAAGGGGGCTGTAGGGGATGCAGAATCTATAGATGAAGAGTAGCAATACAAAATGCTTTATGGACTCTGATCCAAACCTGTTCTTCTGTCCTTTCACGTGCGTGGTAGAATTTCAATGTCGAATGCCGGATGAACCACTCTGCCTCTGCCTTTCAATTCACCACCGCTTCAAAAGCCTGTCGCAGCAATGGTTTGCAAATAGCGCCCAATGTACCAAACAACGGAGAAAAAAATGTATGAGCAGGAGGGAGAAGTAAAAAAGGATGGCAACAACGTGTTTCGATCGGGCGATCTCCGGGTTTGTACATTGAGCAGTGGCAAAATAGATAAGTTGACCCATAATGCATAATGGACAGAAAAAAAGATTGTAATCTCGAAAACAAAAGATTATAGCAGCAACTCGTTTCGATCGAGTGACCTCGGGGTTTGAGCTTACGTAAACGTCTCGCCTATGGGCCCCGCGCGCTTCCATCTGCGCCATGCTGCTGTGGTATGGACAGGATAATGAGAATCTAGAATACAAGATGAGTTGTAACACTTCCGGAAAACATATCTCCGACGCCTCTGTTTCTCAATTTCAAGCTTTATAAAAGATCTTCTGGGACCTGATAAACAAGGCCCCGCGCGCTTCCATCTGCGCCATGCTGCTGTGGTATGGACAGGATAATGAGAATCTAGAATACAAGATGAGTTGTAACACTTCCGGAAAACATATCTCCGACGCCTCTGTTTCTCAATTTCAAGCTTTATAAAAGATCTTCTGGGACCTGATAAACAAGGCCCGCGCGGTTGCATCTGCGCCATGCTTCCTAGATGCAGGAGATCTTGGAATTTGCTCAAATCCGAATGTAAGGCGATATTTGCTCTTAACGCGGTTCAACCGATTTATTTGCGCTATTATTCTGCCTATTATCTATTCTCGGGCTATAATAGCGTTCTGACATGCTTCCGTCCTTACCTAGTCGAGGGCAAGCATAGTCGTCCAACTCCCTCCTAATCGGGATGCTAGCGGTTGTTTGGTCATGTTGATGCACAGCCACCATCATCGCCTCACCGTGGCTTGATGCTCCGCTAATCCTTTGCAGTTTTTGCACTCATGCAAGCAGCAATTCCACCAGAAGAATTCCAAGACGACCGGTCTTTGAAGCCGATTCTCACAGACGTCTGGTCATTTATCTACTCGACAGTGACCATCTTTGCAAATGGCCACCGGCTAGCTTTTTCCTCTATTCTCTTACATCGGCAGGTCGCATGCATATTGTTCGTGTTCTACGTCTCAGTTTTTTTTATGGTCATTGTCACCCCCACGAGTTCTTCAGCCATATTCTTTTTATTGGCCTTGATGACCCCACTGACAGTCGGGATCAAGCCAGCTTTATACGCTCTCATTGCTGTATACCTCGAATTCCTTGGCGGTGCTCCCCGAAGAGATGCCCTTTTCGGCGTAATCAGCGTGGTTGAAATGGTTGGAAAGACACTCTCAGCTCGTCTCTTCGCCGTGCCGCTGTTCACGTCGCTCATTTCTTTTCTTTTCTTCCGCAGTACTGTAGTATTACGTTCAATTCGTCACCGCCGCGGGTTTTTTGATACTTTTAAAAATCAAAGAAAATCCGACAAATTGAGAAAAAAATATTGCCGCCCTCAGAGAAAATGAGCGTGACGCGTGACTGACGAATTGAACGTAATACTACAGTATATCATGTATGTACCTACTTACGATTCTCTTTGGCGGACCTCCGTAAAAGTGGGCTTTATGCTTACCGCGGCGCTGTTGGCCGCTGTCGCGAATCGCGATGTCCCTTTGGCCTGGCGGAGGGCCGGAACGGATACCACGAGATAGTCCGGAACGTATCCGTATAGTCGTGTCGGACGAGACCGTGGCTCAGGACCCCTCGACGTTCTCTCCCATTTACAGGCGCGGGGATGGGGATGCTCACTAGTCTATTTTACGCTAACGATATGATGTATTCATTTCCTGACTCTGTGTTTGTATGTATAAATACCACTCGAGTTGTAGTTCAAATCAGACAAGTTCATTGTTTGGATACGACAGATTGGAATGTAGACTGTGTACACAAAGAGTAGAAAAATCGAAGGAACATCCGCGCGCCAAGGTTTTGGAGGGGACTCCGCGTGCTCGCCCTAGAGCAGGTGGTCGGGATCGTCAGCATGGTTCCCATCGTTGGTCCAATACCTGTCCTTCTCGCCCTCTCTGACCCTGCCCATCTTCATCATCGTCAACCCAGCTGCCCGAATGAACAAAGTCCCATCGATGACCTCGCTGTCTGGCAGCTCCGTCATCCTGAAGGTTCCGGGGCGGTTGCGCCGTATACGACCGCGTAATGCGCCAGAGCGCGTATGACTTTGCACAGGTGGTCGTCGGGGTGCACCAGTGCCGACTGGATGAGCTGCGTCCATGGGTTCGGAGTGATTGCGAGCGGGGAACTAGCCAAGGGAAATGCAGATGCGTATGGAGTGGGAACGGGCCCCGGGACCGTCGGGCTAAGGGTTGCCCTCGACGAAAAGAAGGAGCGGACATTCAAGGGGCGACGACCACGGGAGATCCAATAGCCGAGAGAACGCGCAAAGTATGCGCGGAGGAAGAGGGACTTTGAACGTTGGGGATGTGATGATCGCCATGAGCGATGACAACTCAGTGAGGACGTAACGAGGTGCATGCTACACAGGACGGCGTCAGTGCAAGCCTGCTTGGTCGTCAAAGAAACTCACATCGTGAATTCAGCTTCACGCAAAGCCCCGTCGTTCCACCCGCCAACGACGTATAGCATGACGTTAAGGAAACATAGCTCCTGCACCTTGTTTTCGACCTCTTGGGCATTCGCGCCATCCACGGTCCACTGCGCCGCATACTCGTATATGGCGTCGCCAAATTTCTTAAGCACGTCGTCAAGTGACGTCGGCTTGATATCGTGGAATCTGTCATCGAGCAGGATACGGGACGCGATAGAGAATGCGTGGTCCGGGCGCGAGGGCTGCATGGGGAACATCTTTTGTGGTAAAATCACCAATGAGTTGCCAAGTTGGTGTACAGCGGCCTGCGCGAGTCCTGTGGGATTCCTTATTGGTTGGCGCCTTCTCGCCGTGGAGAATGCGGATACACGTACCCTCAGCCACGAGACCCGGTATGCTGCGAAACCAGGGCTGAGTGAGCACGACCACAGCCCAGCAGAGAATAACGACGTACGCGAACTCGATTCCATAGCCGAGATAAAGCATGGGGTGCAGGATGCCCGCTAGTAGGCGGTTGAGCATCTGAGGCCCCTTTCCATCGAAGTTCGCCTTGGACGAGAAAACCCATTCCTCGAGCGTCGCTGCGATGTCGTTCTTCTTCAGCACCTCCTCGGAGAAGAATTTGAGATACGCCTGGTAGTATGGCCTTTCACCCAGATGGTCCGAAAACGTCGCGGCGGTGACAGGGCCCGGTGAGGGAAACGCGGGTTTCTCTATGGTGAGGTGCTGTTTCCAAATCGCCTCTATGTGCGCGGGGGATGCTCCCAGCGCGTACTCTGTGAGCATATGGAAGGGTGTGTGGTTGTGGCACCCCCGACGGAGAAAAACCTGGTTTGCGGTGAGAAAGGATGCATTGGACGTGAAAATTCGCACATACGCGTCGTGTATCTCGTAGTCTCTCTGCAAGTATCCCGTACGACTGCGGTGGAGTTGGGGGTGATTCCAGGTATTCGGGAGGGCGTGTTTGGCCCCACGGGAGGCGGGCCAGGGTTGGGAAAGAGACGCGTCAGCTGCGATGAGGTAACGCGTGCTATGGTACCGGCGGGCGTCGCGGTAGTAGATGTGCCCTGCGCCGCCGTAGTCGACGATGTGCCCTGCGCCGCCGACGATGTGCCCTGTGCCCCGTAGGGCGCACGACGACGCGAATGGCTGAGACCATTTTGGTGCTCGGGCCGTTGTCGATGTCGATGGCGGTAGCAGCCGCAGCGGGCATGGCATCCCTGCGATCGAGGTACATGTCGGCCGCTGAGCCGGTCTCGCCCTCACGGTCGAGGATCATCGCGGTGATGTTTGCGACCGTATACGGCGGGAAGATGTCCTGGACGTCGATGGACGAGACGTTGGTGCGTTGGGTCGAGAGGGGGAACTTGGATGCCAAGATGGAGTTGCCATCGTAGAGGCGATAATACACTGCATGAATTGATCAGCGGCATCCAGTGAGAGGTGTTGCAGAGACGCACAATATACTGTATCGTCCATCGTGAATGTGAAGTGAGGGGATGCAGTGGAAACTAGAGGAATCCAACATATTTGTACTTGGCCAGGACGAAAGAGGTAACTCAAGTAAGATTGGCGCTCGATTGACAGTCGAAATGGCGCCGAGGCACGCATAATCTTATCCGCATTGGCGTATCGCCGGATCCCTTATGGGCCTACATCTTCTTGACATATAATTCCAGATAATTCCTCACGTCGCTTCGTGATCGACACCCGGAATTCACGCCTAAACCTACTCGTTAAGCAAAATGAGGCGTACCTGGCAAGGTGCATGTTCTCAGCCTAGTATCATGGGGGAGGGAGGAGCCATCACCCCATAAGTAAACCGCGCCTCTCCGTCCCTCCGACTTGACATCGCTGCCCTCGCAATGGATCCTGTAATTAACTGCAAGTCTCCGGCCGCTTCCCGGCCCGCTTCCTACGCTAATCTCATTTTTGTGCAGTATACTATCGCTTGTACAAGGGCCAGACCCCGGCCCCGTCCAAGTTTCCCTTGCAGCCCAGCCAGTCGAACGTATCTGTCGTAGACACCAATCTCATCGCGCCACCTTACACCGTCGAAAATATCCTGCGGTATATCCTTGAACGCGAGGGTGTTCCCAACGACGGCAAGGCGGAGGTCTACATCGACCGCAAGGATGTCAAGTCCGCTCCACTTGGTACGATCCTCGACATCGAGGGCCCGAGCACCAAGTCGAACGCGGCCATTCGCGTGATCTTGCCCACCGCCTCCCCGGGCCAAACGACCACCACCCCAGGCCAAACGACCACCACCCCAGGCCAAACGACCACCGCCCCAGGCCAGACGAATACTGCAGGCCAAACGACCACCACCCCAGGCCAGACGAACACCGCAGGCCAAACGACCACCACCCCAGGCCAGACGAATACCGCAGGCCAAACGACCACAACCCCGGGCCAAACGACCACAACCCCGGGCCAAACGACCACAACCCCGAGCCAGACGTCTAATACCAATAGCTCGTCCGGCACCAGCTCAAACGTGGGCGGCGCGTACACAATCACCGTCCGCATCTTCCACACAAACCCCAACAAGGCCGTCCACTGGCGCGTCGTCGAGTACGGCACGGGGAAGGGTGACGACGAGTGGGATCCCATCCCTGAAGCACCGGTCCTCAGGATTCCCTCGTCCGGCACTTCGGGCAGCCTGCGCTTCGTTTCCTCCAAGGGCGGCGAGCAGTTCGTCTTGACCGTCGGCGTTCACAACTACAAGCGCTG